ATCCGTTGAAAAAGCGTGGATCACTTTTTTTTTTTTTTTTTTTTTATTCTGCAAAAGGCAGACCGAGCCAATGTTGGTTTATGTAAAAGAGCAAACCAGGAATTTGAGAAATGGGCTTGGTCACGGAGTATTTGCAGAACTGGTTACAGAGACTGTCAAGTCAGCACTTCTATGTTTTGTGTTTAGTCACTCCATATTTTCAAACTTGTAAACAATTCAGGTGACAGCATTTCCTTATGCCTGTGGCTGTCAACCTACAAGGTATAGGTGGCCTCTAGGGTGGCCCCTGATGCCTCCAAAGGGCCACGTATAATATTTATTGTATTTTAATGCTCCAGAAGACTTGTAGACTGATAACATCCTAGAAGAAATAGCAAGAGACTACTACAGGGCAGTGTTGAACAAATCCCAGGTGCCAGGTAGACAATGCTCCCTAACCACTTGCTGTCCGGAGCAATTTCTTACTATTTACACACACGATAAAATATGATTTTTTTGGCTAGAAAACCGCTTTAAACCCCCAAACAGTTATATATTTTCTGAAAGCAGATGACACCAAGAACACGGCTGCTGCTTCTTGGTTTATCCACATCTGCAGGCCGCCGTATATGTACGTGTTGCGGCCCGGAAGTGGTTAGAGTACAGCTGGCACCTAACTTTACAGGTTTGCTCTAGTTGTCAATGGAGCTGGCTCCTGAAGTTTGTATTTGTCCACCCCTAGACTAGAGACATGTTACATAAAACAAAAAAAAATTGCTTTTATTGAAAGCCCATTTACAAATAAACGTTCCCTCTACTGGGGCCCAAGGTCGGCACTTTAAACATCAAAGGGCTGCATGTGGCTCTTGGGTCGCAGGTTGGGCACCAGAGCCTTATGCCATCTTCTTTATTCTTAAAAAGAAAACCAAAAATAAAGAACCTGCTGTAACAAATCCCTTAGCTCAGGGGCGCCCACTATTTTCCGTCTGGAGATCTACTTTTCAAATGACAAGCTCATTGAGATCTACCAACGAAAAAACACCTGCATTCAGGGGCGGGAGGGGCGTGGGCTGCGCAGGCATGCCCCTCGCAAACTGCTCTGCGTTATAGTGACAGCGGCTCCGTCCTCCGCCCTCCCCCGCCGCCGGTTCCTTCACGTCTTCTCGGATCCCCGCTGGGGAGAGCAGCGGGAATCCAGAGAAGCGGCGGGAGGAGAGGACATGGCGATCTACCAGTGATAGCTACGCGATCGACCTTGTGGGCACCCCTGCCTTAGCTAAAGTGATACTCCACCCTTTCCCAACCAAATGGAAACATTTGTTTTGGGTAGAGATTGATTCTTTGAAACAACATTATTTTTCCAGAGATCTAAACACTGAAGCCCTTCCTAAGGCTAGGTTCACACCTAGGCAATTTATCGCGCGGATTGGGTCGCGTGATATCGCACAAAACACAGGAGCGATTTTCGGCCGGTTGTTGAGCAGTTTGGGTCCCATAGACATTTCTATGCATTGAAAACCCGCGCGGTTTTCAATGAACAGTCGCGCCATTGAAAATGAGTAAAAACAGCTCGGCATCTGAATCGCCTAGGTGTGAACCTAGCCTGAGGCCTCCCTTCTCTCTTAGGTTTCATCTGATATGGGAGCTAAATCATCTCTCTGTCATCAGTTTAAATGAGGATGGGGAGTCCCTAGGCAGGACTTTGATGTTCATATCTGCAGAAAAATAAAATGTTTTATTGAATGTGGAGATAATCTGTGTTTTTATGTTGTGGATCTGTAACAAGGGAGCATAGATAAGCTCCATGTGGTGCCTGTACCTGTGTGCCCTGACATGGGAGCTACTGAAGAGGGCCATTTGCAAGCACTATTCAAAATGCTCAGTGCAGGGCCGCAGCACAGTGTATGGACTGTATCCCAGCTGCCAAGGTGGGGAATGGCATTCCCCCCCCCCCAAAGTTATGACTAGTGGTGGGGAGAGGGGGCAGATTTGTGGAGGTCATTTCAAGAAAGTGAAATTACCTTTTTTAATAGCTTCTGAAAAAACAAACTTGTCGCCAAGTTTAGTAAAATTAGAAGCTATGCCATTTGATCTTATTTCCTTGGCTTGACTTCCACGATTACCCCTCTGCTATTTGGAGTAAATCTCTCCCAAGAGAAATTTGGGGGCTGCTTTTGCTGTCCTCGGTATGAAGATGCTATTTGTCTGCTTGTTATGCTGCCTCACCCTATTCATGACTTTTGTAGCCCCTGACCTGGAACAAGTATGCAAGTTAGTGAGGTTTATGAAGTTTATCTTCATATTCATGAAACAAGTGGGTGGGCATGACAGCCAGACAAACAGCATTTACATAATTTGCAGTCAGCAATGGCATCTTCCTTGTGTCTCTCAGGAAACGTCTTGTTTTAAAAGCAGAGGAAATACACAGCAACCAATACCTGTCTCTTGTCCATACAGTGCCAGAAGGAACCAAGTATTGTTAGGGGTTTCCTGTGTCATCTGGGTGTTTTGTGGACAAGGGATTTGTCCTTATAGAAAGTTGTATATCTGCAGATCCCAGAGTCCAAGGCTTTTCTTCCTTTTTGATTGTCTAAGAAATATGATAGTGTAGAAATGGGGAGACAACAGCTTTGTGAACATACCCTTGTTTCTGATATTCCCTTACAATGACAACATTGGGGGGCCCTGTTCTTTATACCACTTTCACCGCAGTTTCTGGAAAAATAGACTTTAGACATGCTGTTTATGAAATGTTTTAGAACTCCCTGCTAGCATTTGTCCTCCCTCTTGTAGCCCTGTCATGAGACTTTAACTATATCTTCTTCCCTCTAATTAATTGTTAAGTGACATTGTAATTAAAAATTAATCGTGTCCACAGGGCAAAGCAGGCTTAGCGTTGTCTGGTAACAACATAAATGAATGGTTCCTTAAGGCTTTAAGAGTAGAACAATGCTGCATGGTAATGTTATTGTAGCTTTTAGTTAAGATGTTTGCTATGTCAGGAACTATTTTGATAAACCAGTTCCATATTTTACACAAATGCAATTTAATACCCGAGGCATATTTCCTTAATGACCTGTGCTTATTATGTTTTTAGGTTTGACATAATTGGATTGTCTCCAGATGCTCAGGAGGATGATGCTGGCATTAAGCAGGCTGCAGAGAACAGTATGCATTTCTCAGTTATTTCACTGCTTTCTCAGACGTACTTTGTAGACATTCTTTATATAGAATTCATCTGTTGTATATTTCCTAGAAAAACAAGCGTTTATAGGGCATCTTGTAACCCCTTCGCTGCCACATTGGCAGCAGCGGGCCCCTGCAAAACACTACAGCTACCAGGAGTCTGTGTACGTGTGTAAAGACGACTATTCGCTTTACACAGGCAGCGATTTCAGGCACATTTTAAGAAATTCCACTTTCCTAGGTGAATTACCCCTATCAATCTGCCCCACTTGGGTGACCACACTGACCAATGAGTGCTCACAATTTAAAATATTGAGCGCAGAGCTGCCCTGGTGTGTATGGATAGTAGGACAGGCAGCTGTGGAGAGAAGGAGCATTCGCTCAAAGGTAAGAGCGGTGGGGGGAAGATAGTGGGCAGATTAGTGGAGGTATTTCCGTTTTCCAAAATCTGCCTGGGAATTCGTCCCTGCATACATGCACCCAACGCAAGCACGTGTCGGGTGCACCTATGTATGACAATTGTGTCCCACATGTTTGGTATCGCCACGTACGCCGGAGCAATAATTCCAGGGTCAATATTTATGGACTCTAAGCGTATGACCTTTACAGACTTTTAAGTGTTGCCTATGGACAATTTGTGGTACCAGGTTTTTTTTTTTTGCTGCTTCACATGAGCACACAATTTTTAGGCTTGGCATGTTGTGTACCTTTTTATTTGACACGAGCCCATCTTTTATATTTTACAAACAAATTGGGTATTGTGTTTTTGTGCACTAAAATTGAGTGTCATTTTGACTGAGATTTTGGGTTTGATAGGGTTGTGCTAATATCATGCGACATAAAAACTGCCACCATTTTAAGGGTGTTTTAAGTAATTTTCAGGCCTAAACTGTGGAATATAACATGTGCAAAAAACTGTGGCAGCGAAGGGTTTAATCTCAGTGCTTGTCAAGATACTGATTTAATGTACAATGTCAGAGTATGAATACCAATGATGCAGACAAGGAGAATGCTGTAGATACTCACCCGCTAATACCACTAT